ACACTGACTCATGTAAGCACCCAGCCTATTTGGAGGACCACTGATCCTGAAAACGCACCCATTATGTTAACATTCAGTGAATCCTTGTTATTTCTCCAGGCATAAGAAAATCACTGATTCAAGAAGCCTATTCTATATTTTACATATATATATATATACACACGGTCTATATTATTAGAAAGTTCTTGGGGCACTGGGTGGCTCAGTCAGCTAAGCATCTGCCTTCGACTCAGGTCATGATCCCGGGGTCCTGGGATCGAGCCCCACATTGGGCTCCCTGCTCAGCAGGGCGCCTGCTTCTCCCTCTCCCACTCTCCCTACTTATGTTTCCTCTCTTGCTGTGTCTCTGTCAAATAAATAAATAAAATCTTTTTAAAAAGAAGGAAATTTATAATTTCAAAGAGACTTTTCTCTAGCTACAGGGAGTTTAAACAAGTGCAATAGGGACACCTGGGTGGCTCAGTCAGTTAAGCACCTGCCTTTGGCTCTGGTCATGATCCCGGAGGACCTCCCAGGACCGAGGGCCCCCACCCCCCATTGGGCTCCCTGCTTCTCCCTCTCACTCTCCCTCTGTGCTCGTTCGCTCTCTCCCTCTCTCAAATAAATAAAATTTAAAAGAAGAAGAAGAAGAAGAAAGGAACTTCCTCCTTCTGTTTGTTTGTTTGTATGCTCTGTATCCAAAGGCTTACCTCTAGGGCCTGCAAAGCCAGCCTAATCCCTCTGAACACTCTGGCAACTCCGATCACTGAGAAGGGCCTGATTCCTTAATATAGAAGGAGCTTCTATAACACAGTAAGAATACCAGCAACCCAAAAAGAAAAATAAATAGGCCGAGAATATAAATACGTAAGGAAAACAAATATTTAAAAATGAAAAGATACAACCTCACTCAGATAAGAGAAATGCAAATTAAAACTATGGGGGCAACTGGGTGGCTCAGTTGGTTGAGCGTCTGCCTTCGGCTCAGGTCATGATCCCAGAGTCCTGGGATCGAGCCCCACATCGGGCTCTCTGCTCAGCAGGGAGCCTGCTTCTCCCTCTCCCACTCCCCCTGCTGTGTTCCCTCTCTCACTGTCTCTATCAAATAAATAAAATTAAAAAAAAATTAAAACTATGATGATGCATTCTTTTTCACTTATCAAGTGGCAAAGATAAAGAAAAGTTGGACAAATATATGATGTTGGTGATGCTGAGGAAAGACAGGCACCCTCCTACACTGCTGTGGTAATGTCGATGGGCACAACCTTCATGGCAGGGACCTAATGAAGCCATTAAAGATGAGTTTTTTGAATTCTGGGGAAATGCTAACGGTATAATGTTAAATGGAAAACAAAAAGGCAGAAAGCATACAGCATGACACCAGGAAAAAAAGTACTGAAAGTAAATTTATCAAAACAATAATGATGCCTGTTTCTGAGCAGCAGGACAACATAAGTGATTCTAGCTCTGTGGTTGTTTTTTTTTTTTTAGATTTTATTTATTCCTTTGAGAGAGCATGAGAGAAAGAGAGAACATGAGTGGGGGGTGGGGGGCAGAAGGAGAAGCAGGCTCCCCACTGAGCAGGGAGCCCAAAGTGGGGCTCCATCCTAGGAACCTGAAATCATGACCTGAACCAAAGGCAGATGCTTAACCGACTGAGCCACCCAGGCGCTCCCAGCTCCGTTCTTTACGCTAATCAGCCTTTTCAAACTTTATATGAAGCCTATAAAAAATGAGTCAGGAGGAGTTGATGAGAGCCTCTAAGTGCACCTGGTTTTGAACTGCATACTTTTAACATTCACCTTAAGAGATAGAGGAGCCCCTGGCTAACCCACACGCCTGGGAAAAACATATACAGTTGATTCGGTTATTCCCAGTCATTATGTTCTCTAAAGTTGCCACAATCATCAGATTCGTGAACACCAAACCAACCAATGCTCTTGGGAAAAATACAGGGTCTGGTCCCTTGGAGCCTCCAACCACATTTTCATCAACCAATCATATATAACCTTGTTTTATGTGTGTTTCTGTTTAAAGACACCTCATTTGTGTGTGTGTGTGTGTATACACATATATACAGTTGATTCATTAACACTGAACTCAAGGCAAGCAGCCCTCTACCCTCAACTCTGAACAAAAGTATCTAACACACATCCTTTCTCCAAAAGGTACATTACAGCCTTCCTACTCTTCAAACACTAGACAGCACTCTAGCACTATGCTTGTGGACTACTTTAAACAGCAAAATCACTCACAAAAAGCACAAGAATGTGAAGATGCGGTATTAAGTAGACCTCAAGGACACCTGTTTATAGTCAGCGAGCTGAACCGAGAAGGCAGCAGGGCCTCGGCCAGGACCACGCACACTGATCTGCTCTGCACTCGTCCATGACAGACAGCACCAACACCACAGGTACAGCGTCGGGGGTTACAAATAAATTTTAGTAAGTAGATGAATTCACGAACATAGACTCCACAGATAATGAGTACTGACTGTAATTATAACTTCGGTTTTAAGGAAAATTCTTACTCAAAAGTCAAGGGCCAAACAGCAGTAAGCTACAGCTGAACTCCTTCACAATTTAAAGTTGAGCACCTTACGATTTATAAATTACAATTTATAGAGGCAATTAAGTTTCCTTTCCATAATGCAAAAGAAAGCAATGTGTGCCATCATTCGTTTGGTTTAATGTACTCATTGTCTTTAGCAAAAACTTTCTTATCCAATTAAATTCAGCCCATAGTTACTGAACATCTCCATCTGCAGAACATGGAGAGGTGTGGGATTATCTCAGCTGAAGCAATTTTCAGTCCTCCTGACCATGGAAGGGGAGGTTGAGGCCATTCCTAACCCCAATACACGACAGACAGAATACGATCGAGACTACCGTAGACATCTATTGTGCATGAGACGGGTAAACATAGAAAGCTATGGGGACCCAACGAAGGAGAAAGTGCACCCTCTTGAGACTGTCTTATGAAACGTGATGGAGACAGTGACATCTGAAAAGAGCTTGAGGGACGAGTACAGTGGTAACTGGAGCTGTGGGAGGAGGCGGTGACGATGTCCTGAAACCAAAAGCAGAGGAGCATGGTGGGGAGATGTGTTCTGGAAACTGAGTCAGAATCCAGCATGGGTGTAGGGTAAGTGAAAGGCATGGTTTCCCTTACTACTGTAAGGCAAGACATGATGCCCCCCAAAAGCTAACAAAGAAGAGAACTTGAAGGCCAATGACTAAGTGAGGAAGGGAGATCGGTCCAACTACCTTGATCCTTCGCATTATTTCCAGAAGCTTCTTGGTTTACTCAATCTTTACAATGCAGTGGTTAACTCTTGACCGGTCCATCTTTCACCTCCTTAACCAGACTGGGAACTGGAAGCAAGCACGGGCCAAGCCTTCTTCTTCCTTAGCCTCCCTCCCTCCCCAACACACAAACACACACCCAACCTACAAAAGGTTGCCTGACACCAATACCTTCATGCACCAGTCTTTAGTAAATATTTACTCATTCAATAATTGGCTTGACAAATACACTGAGCCCTGGTCTGTTTCCTAATACAGGTTCTTCCCACGGAGCAGATGGCTACATTTTCTCGTTAACTGTCCCCGCGTTTTCTCAGAATACACGTGTATGTGGAGAATGAGACTCTTAAAGTGCCACAATATTGCATTATACATTTTTATCTCCTTATCTAAAACTGAAAATAAGTGTTCACCCCATCTCTACAAATATTACAGTTAAATTTGTAAATGTATTGGTATGACCGTAAAAATCCTAGTTTTTAGGCTATGTTCTATTTCAGCCTTTGATTCTATAATTCCTTTTAGAAGTAAATACTAATAGTGTTCTTGGATTGTCTTTGGAGTATAAATATTATGAGATTAAACACTTCTGAATATTCCTTTTCTTAAAAAGATTTTATTCATTTATTTGACAGAGAGAGAGATCACAAGCAGGTAGAGAGGCAGGCGGGGTGGGGGGGGAGCAGGCTTCCCGCCAAGCAGAGAGCCTGATGCTGGGCTCGATCCCAGGACCCTGAGATCATGACCTGAGCCGAAAGCAGAGGCTTAACCCACTAAGCCACCCAGGTGCTCCACATTTCTGAATATTCTTGAATAAAAACTAGTTTTTTACATAAAATTATTTAAATCACATCTTAAATTGTTTCTTCTCTCACAAATTATTTTAATTATATAAATATTTTAAGAAGCCCATTCTTTTTTTTTTAATTTTTTTTGGGGGGGGGACGGGGGAGGGACAGAGGGAGAGAGAGAAATAGAATCCCAACTGAACTTCATGCCCAGCGCGTGAGCCCCACAGGGCTTGATCCCACAACCCCGAGATCATGACCTAAGCCGAAATCAAGAGGCCAACACCCTAAAGACAGAGCCACCCAGGTGCCCCAGAAACCAATTCTTGTTCTTTATTAACTGCTCAAATAAAAATGTCTCCAGTTGCACAAATTCAAAGAATATTAAAACCAATAAATATTTAAATTTGAATATACTTCATGTAAAGTATGTGGCTTGCCATAGTAGCTAGTTAATTTAACTATTATTCATGGTTTCTAACTTTGAGTTTTCTATTAGAAATGATTACTATGGGCGCCTGGCTGGCTCAGTCAGAAGACGATGCGACTCTTAATCTCAGGGTCGTGAGTTTGAGCCCCACGCTGGGTGTAGAGTTTACTTAAGTCAGTAAATATTTAAAACAAGAAGTGACTATTAGATTTTGGGGTGCCTAGGCGGCACAGTTGGTTGAGCGTCTAACTCTTGGTTTTGACTTGGGTTGTGATCTCACGGTCATGAGATGGAGCTCCGAGACAGCTCTATACTCAGCTCAGAGTCTGGTTAAGATTTTCTCTCCCTCTCCCTCTGCCCCTCCTCCCCACGTGTGCATGTGTTCTTTCTCTCTCTCAAATAAATAAATCTTCAAAAAAAAAAAGAAGTGATTACTAGATTTAATAACAAAGGTAAATTCAAAAATGCTCACATTTGGAGTCAAATTATTTTACTTACTGCCTCAAAACCTCGATGTGGGTGATCAGGAAATCCACCTGGTCTACCTCCTTTAAATTCATCAAACAGTAAAAATGGATCCAGATTTTTCAACTGAAATAAAAATTAAATCCAGCAGATTAGATATGCCTTTTAAACCACACTAGTCGGGGCTATATTCATGGATAAATTTAGCAAAACTCACCGAAAATGACATAGCTAATGATAAACTTTTGCAATGACAGTTATTTTCAGGCAAAAACTACTTAGACACACACACACACACACAAACACACACAGATTGACTAAGTTAAAGAGCTGATTTTATAAGAAGTACAAATAGAGGAAAAACATTTCATGGTCATCTAAGATCTAAAGGGTTAGCACAAACAAGATATTGTCTTTCCTAAACAGATGCAAAAAAATAATAAAACCCACCAGTGACTGCATTATCATAAATGCTCTGGAGGAGGACAATTTAACTCATATGTTAGACTACTCTATCCAGGCAAAGATACACATGAAATTATGATGGGAGATGGGCTGAGGATAGAGGCCAAATCTTAAAGGAGTTGGGGTTTTATCCTGAAGGTGACGGGTTTTAACCAGGTTAAGATCAGATTTAGAAAGATCACTCTAGCATTCAAGTGGAAGATGGCTGAGAGAAGGAAGAGACAGGAGATGAAGAATATTCAGAAGGCACTTTCACTAGTCCAGGCAAAAACAAAGTTCCACTCAGGCAACGGCAGTAGAGATGGAGAATGAGAAACAGAGGAGCACTGGATGCCCCACCCCCAGGTGTCTAGCGATGGTGCCTAGGAAGATGGGAGAGGCATCCAGAAGCCCAGGGAATCTAACAGAAGAAGCAGCCCTGAAATAGTTATTTTAGGTAGTCATTTTAGGTCACACTGACTCTGAGATATCTACATAAACGTTATCTGTAAAAATAAAACTACGGATCATCAGTGTCCGGTATGTTGTACAAAAGTTAGAGAGAGGCAGAAACAAATCAGGCAGTCGTTGGCGTATCTTTACAGCTATCTTGGTTATTCCTGGTCATTTGTTATTCTACAAAAGTTTTTATTAAACTTAAAAGCTTAGGGAAATAGAAATGTATTTCTGATTGGAATCGCTTTGAGTCTATGGACCAAGTGGGAAAGATTGACCTTTTTTTTTTTTTTTGGAGAGAGAGAGAGCGAGAGCGCACACATGTATGAACCCAGGGAGAAGGGCAGAGGGAGAGGGAGACATGATCTTAAGCAGGCTCAGCACCCAGTGTGGAGCCCCGAGGCAGGGCGCCATCCCACGACCCTGAGAACATGACCTGAGCTGAAATCAACAGTGGGATGCTTAAGCGACAGAGCCGCCCAGGTGTCCCTAGGGAAGGTTGATATTTATGTAATACTGAGGTTTCCTATACATAAACATAGTTATCTCCACCTATTTGGGGCTTTTAAAATGTCTTTCAATAGGGTTTGTAATTTTCTCCATACAGGCTTTGTATATATTTTTTTAATTTTTGTAGCTAACATTGCTAATGACATTGTAAATACGATTTTGAAATTGTGTTTTTGAATAGTATGCTACTAAGGATTAAAAATGTAAATAGAAAAGTGATTTTTGAACATTGCTAAACTCTTATTAATTTTAATAATCTATCCATACTTTGGGTTTTCTTTCCAGACATTCAGATCACCAGTGTATTTATCAATAAGTTTTTGCCCAGGGGCACCTAGGTGGCTCAGCTGTTAAGTGTCTGCCTTCGGCTCAGGTCATAATCCCCGGGTTCTGGGATCGAGCTGCACACTGGGCTCCCTGCTCAGCCAGGAGGCTGAGCATTCTCCCCCCTTCCTCTGCCTGCTCGTGAGCTGTCTCTTTCTCTCTTAAATGAATAAACAAAAATCTTTTTTTTTTTTTAAATAAGCTTTTGCCCAGTAGTTCACAATTCCTTTGGTTGCATTAAAGGTGTGGCAGGCTGCTTTTCTCTGGATTTTGCTGGGCTTGGCTGGCCTCCACACGGCTTGTCATTCTTCATCCCAAGCTGAAACAGTGTCCGCTATCTAGGACATGCTGTTCTCATAACCAAGGACAAGAGCAAATGGAAGCCAAGCCAACAGGGCACAATCACGTTAACACGTCCCTTTGGTGTCAGCATGTGACATGGCCAAGCCCAGGGCAGGAGGAGGGCACTTAAACCCTGCCTATGGGACTCACAGTTAATGTACCTAAGACTGGGGGGAGTGTGTAATCCCACAGGGGGTGGGCAGTAAATATTTGGGAATAATATCCCAACCAACACCCGTCAGCAAATAACGGGTTTTTCCCCTTCATTGTCCAGCCTTACACGTTGTTTCTTTCTCTTGTCTTTTTGCAAGCTAGCATATCTACAACAATGCTGAGAAGTGACAGTAATAGATGTCCTTGATTCCTCCGATTTTATACAGATTCACCACCACACAGGTTGTTTAATGCAGGTTTTCTGCGGATTCTCTTCATAAGAAGAAAGAAACCCCACTTCTTCTAGTTTACTAATTTTTTGAACATATACAGTTGTTGAATTTTATTGAACCCTTTTTTTTGTGTTATTGAGATACTTTTCCTCTCCTGTAATCTCTTAATGTTGGTAACTTACATAACTAGATTAATCAACCTCAAACCAAATTTGCTACATTTCGTCAATCCAAACTTTGTGGCAATATATTATCTTTTTAATACATTCTGTATCTGGGTGGTTAATATTTTATGATTCTTGCTAAAATGTGTATAAAAGCAACATGATTATCCTTTCACTTGCTGTCCTTGTCCGGTCTTGACTGCAAGGCAATGCCATTTCATAAAGTGATGAGAGGACTCCCTTGAGCTTCCTTTCCCTGGACAGTCTGCACAGAACTGGAATTATCTGTATCTTAAATATTAAATATTGGGTGAAATTTATCTGTAAAATCATGTGGAGCTGCCGTCTTTGTCACAGGCTTTTAAAATACTGACTCCAGGGGCGCCTGGGTGGCTCAGTGGGTTAAAGCCTCTGCCTTCGGCTCAGGTCATGATCCCAGGGTCCTGGGATCCAGCCCCGCATCGGGCTCTCTGCTCAGTAGGGAGCCTGCTTCCCTCCCTCTCTCTGCCTGCTGCTCTGCCTACTTGTGATCTCTCCCTCTGTCAAATAAATAGTTAAAATATTAAAAAATAAAATAAAATACTGACTCCATTGCCCTAATGGCTACGAAACTATTCAGACTTTCTTCTTTCTTTCTCATTGTTTTCAGACTTTAAGCCTTTCTCCAGCTTCCCGGCAGGTGAACTAATTACATTTTTTAAGTTGCATTTTTATCTCAGGGAGTCTACTGGGTCATGCTGCTAGAAATTTCTAGAGAGTACTAGACCCTCTCTTTGTCCCTGTCTCTGGTTTCAACTCTCTGATTTTCACGTTCCATGGGAAAATGCACACACACACACACCCCAGATAGTGTGCACACACATAAATTTAACAAGCTACCGCAAGTTTTTCACATAACCAAGTCTCAGTTCCTTCACTTTAAAATGTGGCCTGTCACCCTTAAAAAGCTGGACCACTTTGCAGCCCATCCCAATCCTGTGTTTCATGCAGTGAAATACTAAAAGGTAACTGAAAAGCAAAACATTTATTGAATCCTCCCCCCAAACACCCAAGAGGGCGCTTCAACCTCAAGGTCCATTTCAAACCACCCTCACTGTTGTCCGGCAAGTCCCCAATATTTCCGTCCCGTCACTCAACTCCTCACCCCTTCACGCCCTCTCACCTTTGCACCCCCAGGAGACAGTGCGCTCCTTTCCTCCTCCTCCCCTCTCGCCTCCTGAATGGACTCTCTCCCCGGCCAGCTCTCTGCCCCTTCCAGGGAAAATCAGTCCTAGATCTTTCCAGTCTTACCCCGTCACCCATATAATCCACTTCAGCTCAATGAAAGCCCATGAATGGAACCAGGGCTGGGAGGAAGAGGGTGAAAATGCTCCTCTCGTATTGTGTATTTTTCCTCTCACTGGATAATACACAGCTTGAAGCACTGGAAACAATGAGTGCCTGGCAGCGGGGCCAATGCCTAGAGCGCCGTGGGTTTGAGACCAGTGGCCGGGTTGTGCACCGACCCGTCTCCGAGCCACACCATCCCCACATGCAAAAGAAAGTCTTCAGGTGCCTTTTTAAGGTGCTTTTTTAGTTCCACACTATTAGGATTTTCTGATATTGAAATATGGGTAAAGAGGAGATGAATATGTATGGGGCGTAAGCGTGAGACAATCTTCCTCTAACAAGCAAGAGTATCTCGCATCAGACTACTGTACTAGAGTGGGATTTGCAGGGCTGGGCATTAGGACTTATTAAAGTTCCTAACATTCTGGTGGCACCTGGGTGGCTCAGCCGGTTAGGTGTCGGTCTACAGCTCAGGGCATGATCCCCGGGTCCGGGATGGAGCCCGGGGTCGGGTTCCCTGCTCAGTGGGGAGACTGCTTCTCCCCATCCCTCTGCCCCTCCCCCTGCTTGAACGCACACTGTCAAATAAAGTCTTTTAAAGGAATAAATCAAGTTCGTAACATTCAGTAAACATTTAGCAAGTATTTAAGGCACGTCAGGGGCATACCTTGTGATCTGTAGGCAGGATCTGATTGATAGAACTCGGATTTTCTACATTTTGACTTGGTCGCCAACTCATCCACACCTTTCTCTTTCTACACATTAAACTGATGAGCTTCTCAAAGCTTTTGAACCAAAGGAGAAGGTCCTTTCCCTCACACTGTTCCAAATCCTTTAACTGCCAAATTCAGGTGGCAGCTTCAAAGCTATTCCCTTTGATGTCCTGAGAAGGCCCGTCAAGACCTGTGGCCACCACCCGTCCAGTCTGTGACACTCCCTTAGTAAGGCTCCAGCTGCCCAGCATTTTTTTTAAAGATTTTATTTATTTATTTGACAGAGAGAGAGAGAAAGATCACAAGTAGGCAGAGAGGCTGGCAGAGAGAGGGGGAAGCAGGCTCCCTGCTGAGCAGAGAGCCCGCTTCAGGGCTCGATCCCAGGACCCTGAGATCATGACCGAAGGCAGAGGCTTAACCCACTGAGCCACCCAGGCGCCCCATGCCTGGCATTTTAT